GAGTGGGTGTGGCTAGCGTCGCCAGCAATGAAGACCAGCTGGTCGTCGTCGGCAAAGCGGGCTGCAACGCGCTGTCCAATCTTGTAGCGACCAAACCACTCGACATTTCTCCACTCGAGCCTGTATGGCTGCAGTATGGCCTGCGCCCGCTTCTGCACGAATTCCTGTGTGGCTTGTTGAGGCCCAACAACTTCTGTGGAGTCGGGACGCAGCTCAATGTAGAGGCGAGTCAGACCTCTCTCGCGGGGAATGAGGAGTACTGAGCCGAGTGCATCTGACTGGATGACGACCTTGCTCCAAATGTCGGGAAAATCGGTCTCAAGCACACCGTCTATTACACCCCAGACAGCATCGGTAGACGAGCCTACTAGACTCGCGCCCTGTATGCACTTGCGGACTTTTGAATGAGCACCATCGCAGCCGACAATATATCGTGTGTTGAATGTCTTGGGAGCACGACCGACGTCTTGCTGGCAGCTGACGGTTAGCGGACGGATGGCCATGGGCGTGTATTTGAAATCGACAAAGGCGGTATTCCTGGCTACCACGACACCTCTCTCCTTCAGATCATCTTCGAGCACGCCCTCGACCATGCCCTGGTGGACGAGCAGCATGTAGGGGTCGGTCAGGTCAACGATAGGCGGGTAGTGAACTTCGCGGCTGGAGCGGTGCAGTGGCTTATCGACTGTCGACTTCCAAAAGGCAATGTCGTAAATCTTGACGCCTTTGCGCAGCAGGGGCTCTGCAAGACGCATCTGGCGGAGAGTCTCAATCGTCTTTGGCTGCAGGCCATCAGCACGGCCGGCAGCGGTGCGGTTGGGACGGTCATCGATGATGCGTGCCTTGATGCCGTAGCGCACCAGGTTGTCGCTGTATTGATTAGTTAGAGGGTGCACTCAGCCGACAGTGTATTGGTTGCGTCGAATACTCACGCAAGCATGAGGCCGGCGGGGCCTGCACCGACGACCATGACATCACTCATGAAGCTCGAGTAGTCGTCCTCTCTAGTGTAGGGCACGCTGGGGGTCGTCTCCAAACTGCTGCCTGTCGAACGGGACTCGGAGTCTGAGATGGTGGTGATGCCTGGGGCCATCTTGTCGCGAATGGACGTGGGCGGGCTGGTCGAGGTTGAGCGCTTCATACGCGTCCATAGTGAGGGCGCCATGGTTTTGCTATGTAGGCAGTAGTGGCCGGGGCGCTAGGTCAGAGATGGTCGGGGAAGGCCGACTCGCGAGTGGTGAGAAGGATTTGGAGAGTCAACAAACGTTCGATTATCTGTCGAACATGTGCCCATTTTCAAACGGCAGAGCAGCGTCTAGGGTCGTCCGAGGCGCGTCATTGTGCTGGCGTCGAGGAGAGAGGGTGGGCGCCAATGGGTGATGCGGCGCAAGGGGTTGCATGCACATGGCCGTGAACGGCTTCTTCAGCTCCACCCGCCTCCCCGTCTGCCACCCAAGTCACCACCACGTACCATGTCGTGGCCGTTGCAAGACCCCGACGAGACGCCGACGGCAGCTAGCTGTCCTGAGCAAGCCGCGATATTGCATCCACGTGGAGGGGGAGGGGTTGGGGTCGGGGTTGTCGTTGTTGTTATTGTTGTTGAACATGCCAATGTACCCGGGGGGGTGTATACTACAATGTCCATGTACGTACATCTCAAAGTGGTATGCCTGTCTGTCTCGCCGTGCCGTCCGTCTATTGCTGGTCCTCCTTTTCTTTATCTCTGCTATCTCTTGTAGTATACTGACTATATACCCGCCACCACCACCTCTTCTTCCTCTTCTTCCTCTTCTTCTTCTCCTTCTTCTCCTTCTTCTCCCATCACCCCTATTCCTACTCCTACTCCTACTCCTACTCCTACTCCCACTCTACCATGACGACATGCAGCACGTCCCAATTGCAATGGCAGCAAGTAGCCGCCCAGAAACAGTCTTTGCGTCGAGCGGCCATGCAGCGCTTCACGGGCGCAGGCGCTGAAACGACGGCAGCCGAAGTGAACCCGGAAGGCTTGCGGATGCAGGTGGTGCACGCTGACGACTGCAGGCCTTGCCCAATCCGGACCACAGCCTGGCCTTGACCTCCGCCATCAGCAGCCTCCATCACGTCTCTAAAGCCATTTCCTCGCGTACTGTCACGGCATCACAGCTGCTGCTTGCCTACATCGCCCGGTAAGTAATAAGCTTTGCCAACCTCAACCTGCTCTCGACCCATTCTCACGCCACCTTTCACCCTCAGCGCTACACATGCTCAAACTCGCGTACGGCCCGCCGCCTTCCACCCTCTCTCTTAGTCAACCTCCGACCCCCGTCTCGCTAACCGCTAACCGCTAACCGCTTTATACAGACAAACTGGCACGTGCCCGCTCCCTCCCTTCTCTAATACAATACAATACAATACAATACAATACAATAATTCTCCCGCTCATCCCCCGCCTTTGCTGACTGATGCAGCCTGACCGAGATTCTGTTTGAAGATGCCCTTATACGAGCCAAGGAACTGGATGCCTTTTTCGAACAAAACGGCCGTCTGGTGGGGCCTCTCCACGGCGTGCCAATGACTCTCAAGGACCAGTTCGATGTCAAGGGATACGACAGCACGTTGGGCTACGTTGGGCGGGCTTTTCGGCCTGCCCTCCAAGATTGCGTCCTAGTCTCTATGCTCAAAGCCATGGGCGCCGTTATCCTTGCCAAGTCCAATCTCCCCCAGAGCATCATGGTAAGTATGTACATAAGCATTTATATACACCCACATATGCCCACGTTATGTACTCGTATACATATATGCACACACGACATGCATGGCTTCCAGAACAAGGTGCACAACTGACATCGCCAGTGGTGCGAAACGGACAACCCATTGTGGGGCCGTACCGTTCACGATAAAAACCCCGAATTCACCTCCGGCGGTTCCACTGGTGGAGAGGCGGCGCTGCTGGCTCTGCAAGGTACAGTGGTTGGATGGGGCACCGACATTGGAGGCAGCGTACGCATTCCATCCCATATGAACGGCCTATATGCTCTTAAGCCCAGCAGTACGCGTCTACCATACCAAGGCGTTTCCGTCTCGACCGAAGGCCAAGAGCACGTTCCGTCCGTCGTAGGGCCGATGACTCGAAACATGGCCTCCCTAGTCGACGTCACAAAGGCAGTGATCGACGCAAGTCCCTGGGACCACGACCCAAAGTGCTGTCCAGTTGCTTGGCGATCTCAGCTCTACCAAGATGCGCTATCCAGGCCGTTGGTGATCGCAGTCATGCGCGACGATGGCGTAGTCAGGTGCCATCCACCCATTGCACGCATCCTCGACCAAGTCGTCGCTGCCCTCCAAGACGCTGGTCATGAAGTGATACCGTGGACACCAGGTAGTCTGCATCAGGAGTGCATCGACGTCATGGCAAGTCCATCACCATTTCCACATCTGACCCAACTCTGACGTGTGTGTGTGTGCGCAGGACCAGTATTATACGGCCGATGGCGGTGAGGATATCCGACGTGACGTCGAGGCCGGTGGCGAGCCCTTCATACCCCATGTCGAGGCTCTCGTAAATAGGGGACAGCCCATTTCGGTATACGACTACTGGCAGCTCAACAAGCAAAAGCTGGCATTGCAGAAGCGCTACCTGGACATGTGGAACTCGACGCGATGCGAGAAAAGCGGAAAGTCTGTCGATGTTCTGCTTACGCCCGTCATGCCACACTCTGCGGTACCACATGGCAAGTGCCGGTGGGTAGGATACACCAAAGTTTTCAACTTTGTAGACTACCCGGCAGTTGTACTACCTGCCGGTCAAGTTTCAAAAGAACTTGATGCTGAAGCTACCAAAGCCATGGGCAAATACCGTCCGAGAAATCCGTTGGACGAATGGAATTGGAACATGTTTGACCTGGAGGCCATGGACGGCATGCCGATCGGAGTGCAGGTTGTAGCGCGTCGCTTACAAGAAGAAAAAGTGCTTGGAGCCGCCGCCGCCATTGATAGAATAGTGAATGGCGTGTGATGTCGTGCGCATGTGTTTTGTTAGCACTTTTGTTGATGCAGCTGCAAACAAGTCGAATTAGAGTTTTGCCGAGCCCTAAGATGCCGACCGTGAAGATGCCGCTCGCTCGTGTTCGGCGGATCCTGAAGGATTGAGCCTAACGCACGTGAATACGCGAGCACGCGAGCACGCGACAATCAGGCCTATAGTGATTCGTGCCGTCCCCGCTATCGAATCGTGCAAGGCGCCCTGCTCCACTGCGGAAAGCGACCCTGCATCAATAGGCCGGGCAAACGGGGAAATACGAACAAACATAACAAGCCAAGCAGTTGCCCAGTGATGATTTTTACAATACCTCCTATTGAGCTGCTGTTCACATCACCTGCTGTGTCTATCTACTTATATCCATACACCAACTTTGATATTTGATGTAGTTGAAATTTGACCTGCTTGGTACAGAGAATTTTTTTCGTTATCCAGCCAAAACTAGCATGACAAGAGAGTGCTGTGGGAGGTGAACGTGAACCATCACGTGATGCTACCGAATGAGAACTCGTACTGGAGACTGACTTGCACAGCATCACTTCCATCCTTCTCTTCATGTACTGGAATCCTTATCTGTATTATTACCTGTCCTTATACCAATGACTATTTTCATGCCGCAGTTCCTTCATGCTACATCCGTAGGTAGTATACAACATGACCCTCCCCAGCCCTCGAGTACTACGTCAGCATCGGAATACCCGGAACCTATCGGAATAAAGCACACGCATACCCCTCACGCTGTCATGTGCCTAGTGTACCCCATTCTCACGCACTCGCTGTCTCCCCCACACACATGTATCAACGACATCATTTAGCCTACCAGACATGCACCTCTGCACCTCTGCACCAATCGCGCCCACGCGCCCCGAAGCTAGCCGTCGACGCTGCCAAAAGAAAAAGAAAAACAAAGGTTACATCTGCGAAGCTAGATAAGCATCGACCTTGCTCACACGCGTCTGTGCTATCTTGTTGAGCTACTGTATGTAATCGTCACACAAGGTTTCCGCCCGCCTGATAGGCTGCATGTGGTTGGAGTAAGACGGGCGCTGTATGACGACAACTGACAGCTACTCTCGAAAGGGGCAGCAGCTTCCTAGATCATGTAGCGTTTTTGCACTGTTTTGATAAAGCCATGGATGGGCACCTTTGAGTCGCTTGTATAGTAGTGCAAGTACTGTGGGTATTGTTTTTTTGGAGCTTTTTTGTGTTTTGAGACGTGAATACTTGCGCAGAGATACGGCTGTGGTGGTAAGAGGGAAAGTGACATCATGGCGCCGGGTAAACCTCAGGTTATTGTGCAGAAACAGAGGGATGAGAAGAGTAGGCTTGATGTAAGTGTTTTCCGTGTCTATATCTTTGTCGCGCATTTTGTTTTATTGATTACGTTGTCCTACAGGTCGTCATCGTCGGTGCTGGTCTGGGTGGTCTCGGAGCAGCGATATCGATCTTGTTAGCCGGGCACAGCGTACATATCCTCGAGTCGACGTCTGAAATTGGTGAAATCGGCGCTGGGATCCAATGCTTACCGAATGCGTCGCGGATCCTGATATCCTGGGGTCTTGAATCTTATCTTGAGAAATATGCGACGACACCGCGGTTCGGCAATATGCGTGGGTGGAAGGGCAACAAGATAAGCGATATGGATTTTCATGAGTATGAGAGGGAATGCGGTACTCCGTTTTGGGACTTTCACAGGGCGGACTTGCATAGGGGACTGTTAGAACGAGCAATCGAGTTGGGTGCGAAGTTGACTACAAGAGCGAGGGTCGTGGATATCAAGTACGAAGCCGATCAAGGGAACCAGACTACAAGAGCCATCGCCGTGTGTCAAGACGGCACAAGACACGCAGCCGACCTAGTAGTAGGAGCCGACGGCATCAATTCCAAATGTCGAGAGATACTCCTAGGCCACAAAGACCCCCCGCTTCTCACAGGCGATCTCGCATACCGCCTCCTCCTCAACACCAGCGACATGCTCAAAGACCCCGAACTAGCCGACTTCGTCCTCGACCCCCAAGTAAACTACTGGATCGGCCCGGACGCCCACGCAGTCAACTACGTGCTCCGCGGCGGCAAGCTCTTCAACATGGTCCTTCTCGTCCCAGACGACATGCCCGCCGGCGCCAACACGCTCGCAGGCAACGTCGAGGAAATGCGCGCCCTCTACAAAGACTGGGACCCCCGCATCCGCAAACTCCTCGCGCTATGCCAGTCCGTCGCAAAATGGCGACTGATGATCCGCCCGGGCCTCGATCCAACTTGGTCGCATACCCGCTCCGCTGCTTTTACTATCCTCGGGGATGCCGCGCATGCTACGCTGCCGTATCTCGCCTCTGGAGCAGGAATGTCGCTGGAAGATGCGCATGTGCTTGGACTTTGTCTCTCGCGGCTCACTGGGAAATCCCGTGCGGATAAAAGTAGAGCACTAGCGGTGTACGAGCGGTGTCGGCGTGAGCGCACAGCACGCGTTGTTTCGCGGGGGAATCGCCAGCAGTATTTATACCATGTGCATGATGGGGAGGCGCAGGTTAGGCGAGATGAATTACTAAGGGCTTTTGGGCGATTTAATGGGCAGGGCAGGGTGAGGAAGGAGGAGTTTGAGGAGAGGGGGTTGAGGGTTGGTGAGGATCCACTTGCGTGGCGGTGGGGGGGCGTGGGGAGTTGGTTGTTGACATATGGTTGTGAGGAGGATGTTGAGAGGAGGTGGAAGGAGGTGGAGACGGAGAGGAGGGAGGAGAGGGGAGGGGATATTGAGGGGGAGAGTGTTAGGGCGGTTTTGTAGGGGAGTTCTTTTGTAGGCTTATAGCAGGAAACAGTAGGAGTTTAATAGCATCTTTTTGTTTGTTCAAGTGGGCAGTTGTAGTCACGAATTCGACTCTTAAACGTAAGATTAGAAATTGATATATAATGTCTCATCAAGAGCTGTGCATCAACACTTTATTCTTTCGTTCATAGACTACTGTGTCTGCTATCTTCTCAGATAATAGTATTTCACTTTCCACTACTATTCCCCCTAAACCTGCTCTCAAGCTCCTCCAACACTACCTCCGCCAGCACCTCCTTCATCAACGTAATATTTTCTCTTGTTTACAAGCATTGGATTTATGTGAGAATGCCTATATCAACCTATCACTAACAGACCTCGCATAGAAATAACAATAATACGCAGAAATAGCAGAAAACTAGCTTGATCATGATCAGATAATTACATGAAGACGAAAGGTCAAGAGAAACTTGAGTCGGTGTACTAATCGTGACCTAAGAAGGTTAGGCGTGCCATAAGAGAAGACGTCCGAGTTTCCCTTTGTCACGATATACTACCAACTAAAGAACAACGCCATATCAGAACACCCCGCATCCGCGATTCAAGCGCAAAGCTAGTGCACTCTCAATCTAGAACCAATATTCTGCACGGCTACAAGTGCATGAGCAAAACGTATCAGATGACCCTCACCAAACACCGGTCTCGTTAACAAGCCCATCGGAGTTGCCCGAACCGCCTCTTTCCGCGCATACTAGCCAACAGCCCGTCGTCCAGCGAGCCCCGCGTTACTAACACCTCGGGCCCCACGTCATGCATGCCCTCCCCAAAAGCATCCGGCGCGTCGCGTCGCCCTCTCTTTCTTCTTTCCTTTCTTCTTTTTCTCCTCTTCTCCCACAATGTCCACGCCCACTATTCCTAAATTCAGCCCCGGAGAAGCCGTCAACCAAGAAAATGGTCTGATCCACGGCGTCTCAGCGCAGGAGCTACAGATTCTAGGGGAGCAATGCTTTGATGCGCGCGAGAGGGCTTATTGTAAGTATTACTTCCATACCGACATAATCGGATTCGGCCATGGAAAAAGCCTTACTTTTGTGTATAAAAAATGGGTAAGGGATAGGAATAGTTATATACCAACAGAAAGTGAAAATCAGGTCCCTACTCCCTCTTCCGCGTCGGCGCCTCCCTCCTCCTCAACACCTCGAACCCTACCGCCCCATCTACAACCCACATCATCACGGGCGCAAACGTAGAAAACGCCGCTTACCCCGTCGGCACGTGTGCCGAGCGCGTAGCCATGGGCACAGCCGTGATAGCAGGGCACCGTATCGGCGCCTTCAAAGCCGTCGGCGTCACAACCGACATTGTGGATTTTTGCTCTCCATGCGGCATGTGTCGCCAGTTCTTACGCGAGTTTTTGAAGCTTGAGACGCCGATTTTCATGTTTAATAAGGAGGGCAAGTGGATTGTTAGGACAATGGGGGAGTTGTTGCCGCTCAGCTTTGGGCCGGATGTTTTGCCACCGCGGGAGGAGTTGAGGAAGGGACAGGAGGGGGATAAGGCGAAGAGTGCGTAGAAAGGGTGGGGGATTGGTGATATGTGCATTGGAGGTGTTGGTGGTGGTGGTGGTGGTGGTGCATTGCATGGTTGGTGGGGAGTATGAGCATCAGATGTGTTGGATATGCAATTCAGGTGCTAGATTAGACGGGTACATATTCTACAAACAGAATTGAATACAACAGAATACAAACAACGTATCTCATTGCTCCGAGTTCCAAGTCCTTGATATCACCACTCAATCTTTTCGAATTTAATATTCCCAGTCTGCACCCACCCCGCAGCCAGCCCCCCGCGGAAACTCAAAAAAAAACCCACTCCGATAAGCCCCCCCTCCAGATAAGAATCCCTAACAGCAACATTTCCCTATCTCCGCGCCCCGTGGATATGTAATGCACACTGCCACAATCTAACGTTCCTGCAAACCAAGTAAAAATCATCCGCTCAACCATGCTGAGACTATCCCCCCCACCCCCCGTCTGCCCGCGCTCAAGCAGCGCGTGCATTTTCTTACTTTTTTTTCTTTCTCCCTTGCTGGAAACGCTTCTGTATTGCGTGTTTATCGAGTAGACACTGTGGTATATAACTAGTGGCAAGATGACGCAAGGCACTGGGAGTAGTAGGGAAGAAGGGATTACGGATTCGGAGCATTTTTCGCCGTATAGGACTGATGGGAAACTCGTAAGTCGTTTTTCTTCTTCTTCTTCTTCTTCTTCTTCTTCTTCTTCTTTATCTCCAGGAGTGTGGGGATGTTTGAGTCGGGAGTTGGGGAAAGAAAAAGAAGACAGGAGGGATGAGGGTGAGGGTGAGGGAGAGGGGTGGAATTGGTGAGAAAAGAGACTGGCTGACAACATGTGGAAATGATATAGTACGGCTTCGTCTGCGTAGTAACGGGTGCCACGCAACCCGTAGGTAAAGCCATAGTCGCCGAATTAGCTGGTGCGTCCTTTTCCATTGAACTCTTCATTCACAAAACCACCTCCTTGCCCAGAAGAAGAAGAAGAAGAAGAAGAAGAAGAAGAAGAAACCCAGATCGAATTACAATCGTCTCAATTCTAACCCCAGCCCAGCCCACGGCGCAGCCTGCATCTACGCCTGTTCCACCCTCCCCTCCGACCTATACTCCCTCCCAGACACCACCAGCACCCAGTACCCCAACACGAAGATCATAAGCTACCCCTACAACATGGCCTCCGAAGAAGATACCCTCGCCCTCATCGATGACGTGCTAAACACCTGGGGCAGACTCGACGTCTGGACCTCATCCACCGGGCTCCTAGGCCCACCTTCTATCACGCAAACCGGACCGAAAGACTTATACGCTGCATTTGATACAAATGCGTTGCCTGCCTTCTTCGCACTCAAGTACGCGCCCGCGGCGATGCAGAAAACGACGCCAAAGGGCAACTATGCGAATGCTGCACCGAAAGATGTCGCGTACGGCTCTATCATCGTGGTGACGAGTGTGGCGGGGACGTACGGCGGGTGCTGGGCGCCTGCGTTTACGATGGCGTCGCATGCGGCGCTGGGCGTCGTGCGGTCAGGGGTGCTGGTGCTGAAAGGGACGGGTGTACGGATTAACGCAGTGGCAGCGGGTCAGATTGATGTGGGAGTTGATTTGAAAGATTGTGGAGTGAAGGAGATGGCGCAGGGCCAGTTTCCGCCGGCGAGTCTGCAAGCGGGTGAGAGTCAGAAGAGGACGATTGGATTGGAGAGGGCGGGGAGGCCAGAGGAGGTGGCGAGGACGGTCGGGTTTTTGGCGAGTGGGTTTGGTAGTTATATCACTGGGGCGGAACTGAGGGTTGATGGTGGTGCGGGGGTTATGAATCCTATTACTGTGCCTGTCTAGGGATCTAAGTAGTAAAGGATGGGGATGGAAGAGGGGATTGAGGTGTTTTTTTTTACAGTACCATACTCTAGCCGTTTACGCCTTGCTAATGCTGTAACACAACCGGTACGCCTTTTTCCCAATTCTCTATGCTCTCTTTGATATTGACCCAGTACCGCAATTTTACCGCCTCGCTCTTCGCTGCATCTAGGTCATCCTCTTTAAACGCCTTGTCGATAATCTCTGTACTTTGAGCTATCCGCTCTTCGTTCCTTTGCCGCATCTCCTCCAAATCCTCTTCTCGCTCCGCCTCCTCGATGCTCTCTCTCGCCTCGAGAACCTCCATTAAAAGTTCAGGGTCGTCCACCTTGGCCGTCTCATCCTCCGCCACTTCAATGCCCCGCAATGAAAGTAAATATTGTGCGCGCAACAAGGGATTTTGCAGCGTTTTGTAGGCTTCGTTGATCCGTGCCGATGTGACTTCGGCGCGTTTCTTGTCTGCTTGTGGATGGAGATCGGGATGCGCGCGTGCCTGTAGCTGTAGGAACTCGCGCTTGAGGGCGGCGAGGTCGATAGCAAAGGGGCCGTTTGGTGGGGGACCATCGGGGAGCGATGCGGGGAAGAAGGAGTAGTGTGTCTGTGGGGCTTGCGCAGTTGCTGATGACTTTGTATCAAATGGTTTTTCGACCGTATTCGAGCTTGACGATGTGGATTGGAAGCGACGGAAAGCTGCTTGAGGTGCTATGTGGTGGGCGCAGAAGAGACATGGTGCGCCGCTTTGTCGCGTGCGAAATGGCGATGAGGTGACCGATTCGGAGGTGAGCGATGCGCGGATTTTGCGCGCGGCGGATGGTCTCAGGGAGCGCATTGTTTAGGTTGTAGGGTATATGTATAGGTATAGCGGGGGTGTAGGTGGAGGGAGGATTTGGTGATATATGTTGCGTTAGGCTGAAGTGCAGGGGTCAAACATTCTCGCGCTCGACAACTGATCGGTTACGTCATTCATTACCGTTACCTACCAATGACATGTGCATGCAACTGATAAATATTTACAGTCTAGATCATTGTTTTGTATGTGTTTCATGGACTTCGTGCTTCGCAAAGTTGCCGAACGCTTCCTATTCGTTGTCTCCCTGCAAGCTGGCGCAATGTTCTCTATTGCGGTGGTGCATGAACACTACATCTTGATCTTCTATGTCAAAGTCATTAACAGCATATTAAAAGCATACCATAAAAGCCTACCATAAAAGCCTACCAATTTTCAGTTCATCTTTGTTGGTACGTTACAGCAACGAATTCGTCTACAATTCCTGTATCATATAAAACGTAATGTTGTTGATTGAATGATTATCTTGTGATAGAACACGTCAAACGACTCATAAGCACTATAAGGAGATCACATTTGTCATGTTCAGGCTTTCAAACGTACTTAATCTGTAGTCATTATGATAACAAATCCAGCCAGGTGACCTTTCAGTATTATATATTTCAGCGCAGGAGATGTGTTCGAGTTTGTTACGAATTGGTCGTGACGCATTTCTTCAAAATAGGTTGAAACAACACAATGACAATATGTCAGAAATGCTAGTCGTAGTCACTCATTGAGGTTGGCTAGGAAACGACACGTACGATATATTTGTGTGATCTTAGTTAAGTATTCTGGAGAATATTTAATTTTCCCCTATACCAGCATCCAAATACAGAATATTCACAAGATGAGTGTGCATCATACAATTTAACTAAAACAATGCATACCAAATAGTAGCAAAGTCAGTCACTCACACCTATGCAAGAAAAAAAGATGCTCTTACTATCCACTGAACTCCTACAAGCCTGCGGAAAGTGCAAAAAATGGGGTCTTACCGCGACTCGAACGCGGGGCCTCTCGCAAGCTGTGCTCGGGAAATCCCTAAGCGAGAATCATACCACTAGACGGTGGGGTTGTTAGAACTGAAAGAGATATTGAATTGTGATGTTGTTGCTTACCCATAAGACCATGTAGCTGTAGATGCTATTGATGAGTAGTTTGAAAATTTGTAAAAATATATCCTCATTGTTGCAAAGAAGTTAGCGCATTGGTGTGGACCCACTGTGCTAGCGGGACCACCTACACGATGCGCTAGGCGTCGCGTTCGAACAGCACCATACAGACTTCCTGTCTCTGCAAAGAACCTAAGAAAGGCTCAATGTTCGTCTTGTTCTTCTTTCTCACTGCGCGCAATTGTTACAGAAAACTACTAGTTAGAGCCTGTTCCCCAGTGTTCTGTTTCACTCAAAGTTTTGACGAACAAAGTGATCCATTTACCAGAACACGCTCCTTCACTCTAGCAAAGAAACATCAGCAAAGTCACTGCGAGCGATTTGGTGAGATAAAAAAGAGGCATGATATATGCACTTGTACGGCCTATGCAGTGGTTTCATCCAACTGCTCACGTGATGTATCCAGCCATCTTTGTCGCTTGGACTTTCGTTCACTAACAGCACCTAAACTGGAGTTGAGTTTCCTTTTGTGCTCTATATAATGGAAGAAGAGTATATCTCGTATATCATTGGTTGGGATTGTCTCCATAGAAGCGGAAAAGTGCTCTGTTCTCAAATTGCAAAGATCATGAAATCACCCAGCCACTCAAATAATAGGCATCACACTACCCTCAACGAAGTCAGCTCTAACACTCTCCTAAGCTGAGGAGATTTTGAGTGTGAATTTGATGTCAGAAATTCTATACTAGAAAGTACGTGTGTATACGCGTTATGTCGGTACTGTGACGCCAGTTGCGGCTATACCTATGGCGATTCACTTTCACTACATCACGTCAGCAAACACTCGGTGAAGAATTTTACCAAAAATCTAACTGAAGGAAAACACGCAAACGAAATTAACTCTCTTATTTCCACAGTCGAGCTGACCTCACAACTGAGCTGCAACGGTAACCAAGCAAAGAATGGCGACCGATGCCTTGGTCGACCCGGGCGTAGAGCCTCATCCTCAGACTGGTACCTCATCATCACAGCCAAACCTTGGTGAAGCCGGAAAGTTACTATTGAAGAACCGCCGCATCGCTAGTGACCGCGATGAGGTTGTTCGCTTTAATGACATGTCTATCGGCCATCTCCCCGCCAAGAACTTCATGACACTAGAACACTTGCGAGCTGCAGTGTTCGATGTTCTTGTTCAGAGGCTGAAGATTCACAACATCGCCTCACCAGCTCTCAAACTGCAGAACTTTCTGTGGTGTCTCCCGACATCGTAAAACCACTATATACACAAGATATGGTCTGATTTCCCGCTAATTATGGCTAGGATGAATCACGAAGACGAATGGCGCCTACTACTCGAAGACCCACTCATGGTTTCTCCACTCATGATCTCGAACATGATTAGCATCGAGCCTTCGACTGCGGACAGTCCGAACCCAGCACCTGACTCCGTAGTTTTCTACATACGAACATTCAGCATTCGTGTCCGAGATCTCAAGGACGTATGCACAGCGATGTTGCATGACGGTTACGACACGAACCCTCGAATATTTGTATGGGTAGAGAGAATGATTGACTTGAGCGACAACGCCTATGTTACTTTGCGGTACTGTGGCCAGTCAAAGAACAGCCCATGGTCGCGCCATGTTTCTGACATCTACTCGAAGTCCCTCCATAATTTCCTCGCCCAGTTCCTGAAGACTGTAGGTATGATATGCAGCGAGGTACTTAAGACATCAACTGTCCATACTGTCATCAAAGCAACGATGAACATCCCCCCAGCTACAAACATTTCGAATTTGAGGGAACAGGTCCTAATTGCGCTCTTCGGTGACGGTGTTCTCAATACCGAAGTTGGGGGCAAGGACATAGTCATTCTGGTGGATGGAGATCGTCAATTGTTCAACGCCTTAGAAACGGACACATTGAAACTGCTGCAACACACACGCAAATGCCCAGCTTCAATCCTCTCAAAAATCAGTGAATACTCCAAGGCTGTTCGGAAGTATGTCGAGGATCATTCGACGACCACAACTGGAAAGGAAAAGCACGTATTCTCCGACAAAACCGAGCAAACGATTACTCGTCAAGGTACACCCAGAGTACTTTCTGATGACTCAGCAATCATTGTAACGTGTTCTATCAGTAAGCTGGCCGTATCAGTAAGCTGGCCGCCCCACCAAAATTGACGCGACGCTCTACACCACCACCACAATGCCGCGACAACAACGCTCTATACAGACTTCTCGTGAAGGCAGACTAAGCCTTGCTATCGCATCCTATCATAATAATCCAAAAAGTTCTATCTACTCTCTTGCGAAAGCGTATGACGTGCCAAAATCAACACTCCAGACGCGTCTCCGCGGTGTCCAGCCACGGTCAGAGATTGCGTCTACTAGGCGCAAGCTATCACTTATTGAAGAGCAGTCTCTTGTTCAGTGGATTCTAGAGCTTGACCGACGTGGATTTCCACCACATATCATTGACGTGCGACGAATGGCAGACACTCTACTCGCCGCGCGTGGCCAGAATCCACCACCACCACCTATAGGCAAATGCTGGGTGCCGCGCTTTATTCAGAGCCAGCCAGAGCTTCAGACAAAGTGGAGTCGGAGATTCCATAGCCAGCGCGCCCAGTGTGAGGATCCTGTCGCAATTACAGCGTGGTTTAAGCTAGTAGAGGAGACGCGCCAGGCGTACGGCGTCCTAGACCAGGATATCTATAAACTTTGACGAGAACTGGATTCGCTTATGGGGCGTCGCTGCAA